TCTCCTTTTTAAATTATGCTAATAATGTAATAACACTTAGTTGAGAAAGAAAAAAATAACTCACAATCATACCATTCACGTACAAAAATTATTTTTGTTTGCATTTTTATATTCTTGTCTGTTTGTATATGTAAATATTATTTTTAAAATGCAGTTATAGTGGTCATAATGATTTCTGTAGGTTTTCCCAATTTAATATTCCATAAGCACTATTAGAAGAGTTTTCATTATCATTTTAAATGAGTACAGGAACTCAGCTGGTATTCCAGTGGTGAACTCTTTTGTCATTCCGAGTGAACTACACAGCTTTTACTGGAACCGTGTGCCAACCGTGTGTACTAAATTAAGCCATATGAGGTCACTATTTTGGTAGGTCAAAATGGATTGAATATTGGCAATTTTATGTGTTTGAGTCAAAGGTGGGTTTACTGAACAACTAACTAATAAAGCTTAAGCTTCAAGGCTTCTTATTTGTAAGGGCCCGTTTTAAGTATTTGCTTTATGTCTAATTTTTTTCTTAATAAAGGGGCCTATACATTGCATAGTCTTCAGGGCCCAGAAAAACTGACTCTGTCTCTGGCATGAGTATTTCTTATGAATGTGGACATTACTCTTTTGTCACTTCAGGGCAGAGCCACGCAGACAGTGATGCTAACATGTTCATGTCTGCTGGCTCCATCACTATGTACAGGTAGATTTTTCCGTCGAGCTACAAGATTGAACACCCGTGCTGAACAGATTAGCATGTGAGTTGGGGCTACTTCAGAGAGATAGACTATGTGGTCAGATCACCGAAATCTCCAAATATATATGATAGTGGCACAACTTCAAAAGCCAGATTCTGGCACAAGAAAAGATCCTAGCAATCTTGTTATTGACACGGATACTAAAAAATACATGTTTGGAGCGCTGGCTGGGCCTGAGGAAACAGTGGGCCTGTGGTATGTGGGTGGTGGTGCATACCGCAGCTTGGAAGTCCTTTTTCAGAAGCTGGGTGATTGCTTGTGGTCAATCCATTGGTCCTTTTGGTGCCAGTCTTGCCAGTATTGGTAAGAGAGATGAAAATTTCTTTTCTCCCTTCAGCGAAGAGGGCAGAACTAGAGCATGAGATAGTGTGTCCCTGATCCCAGGGTATTTAGATTTCAAAATGAGTTACTTTCATTATAACTTGTACTTCAGTTGAACAAAAACAAAGCTCCAAATTAGGTCCATCACTCAGAAGAATTATTATTGTTTTGATAACTGTAAATCGTAAGTCATGATTTTAATTAGAATAGGTTTTCTGAAAACCCAGCCGGCATATGTTTTCACTCTGCTGTGGAACTGTGCTTTGAATCATGTGGCCGTCAGTCAGCTTCTTGCAGTGTATACATGACTCCAGAGAAAGCTTTTAGTAAATTCTGATTGTTGAGTAACAACGGTTCTTCTTGACCTGAGGATGCTTCGGGTCCTTAGGGCCTTTGGGCCTTGACAGGATGTCAGCGTGGTTCAGAAGGAGCCTGGGCTCCAGCAGTCGCTTTTCCTTTTGGCAGTTATTTAACTTGAGTAGGTTGCTACTTCCCCAGCTCATGTCTTACCTATAAAATGGGGGTAAAAAAATCCATCATTGGTTAACCCTGAAATAACTCATTTCATTTAAATTACAGATTCCAATTTTATTATTTTATTTTCAATCATTTATACATTTGAAATCTTTTATGATTTTATTTAAAAGTTTTCATTTCTATAGTAGCTTATAGGAAGGGGTTATTCTGGATCTTTTTTCTATTTTTTATTGAAAACAAAACTCAGAAACTTCCCAGCCTCCATTAAAATATAAAGAAAAATTTCCTGTCCTTTTTTGTTTGTCTCTATTGAAATGCAGTGCTTTAATTTGGATAGCTACCTATGTGATATTTCATCTCTGTTATATTTCAACTAAGGAGATTCAGCTTCTTCATGATAATCCTATGTCTGTATCATAGTAACTTATGTTATACAAGTTTATTTTATTTAGTTTGAAACGTTCATTTCAGATACGGCCTATCTAAAATGAAAAGTGCTCAGAAGGTTTACAAAGCCCATTTATTATGTAATGCCTATTTGTTGAACTTTAGAGTTTGGTCTCCAAGAATGACTCTCAAGTGATAACTATTTAATGTGCTACCCATGAAAGAGTTTACAGTCTAATAAAATGTAAAATAAAATCTCCAACAAAGTAAATGGTCAGCGACTGAATTAGGTATTACTGATTATATATGGCATTGTTAAATGGCATAATCAGGACTATTTTTGCTGTTTTACTTTGACTTAATGAAAAACTGTAGTAATAGGTGATGGGATATTTAATGTGTGCTGATGTCAGAACATACTTGACATTCAACTTAACAATGTGCCATCTGGTCTCCTTTATAGAATCTCGGGTATTTCGCTGTTGGCCATAAATAACACCAAGAAGCCCTTCTATGTATGACAGTATTTGAAAATAGGCAGGGACAATATTCTGATTCTGGGAGTATGTATGTGTTGTTTATCAGTGGCATGTCCCTACTAAATTCTTTTCTTTTATAAAAAATGGTTCATTTCGGTCAACATTTACCGAATCTCTTGTTCTGCAAGGTGCTGGGGTTCTGCAACATGTCAGCTGGTGGCATCTGCCCATGGGTTGTTGGTCCTCAGGGGCTAGTGGTGGCCAGTGGAACATCCACGGCATGTGTGTAGAGGCATCCAGGCATAGGCACCTACCCTGGAATGGGCAGGTTTGGGTCCATCTGGAGGTTATGTATGGTCTTAAGGGCCCTGCTGGGAATCAAAGGTAAGGATGACAATGAATGGTGAAGGCCGGAGGTGTTTTCGTTGTTTCCTGAAGGCTGTGTGGAAACACCAAGCCATTAAGTAGGGGATTGATGTGGTGGCCTGGGAGGTAACAGTATGGTGTTTGCATTAGGAAGGAAGTGAAGATGGTGAAAGATTTGAGTCCATTCTAGAAACAGAGCCAGAGATGATAGGGAATCTGGTAGGGAGTTGAAAAGAATGGACTTAAGACAAGGGTCCCCAACGCTGGGCCAGAGACCAGTGTCTCCATGGCCTGTTAGAAACTGGCCATACAGCAGGAGGTGAGCAGCAGGCCAGAGAGCTAAGCTCCATATTTGCAGCTGCTCCCCAACACTAGCATCACCGCCTCAGGTCCACCTCATATCATCAGGCATTAGATTTTCATAAGAGCACTCATCAGTCCCTGGTGCCAAAAAGGATGGGTACTGCTGACTTAAGGGATATTTAGAACATAGAATCTTGAGGACTTGGTGAGAGAGAGGAGTTTTGTCTGCCTCCCAGGTTTCTGCCTTGTTCACTGTGGATAGTGGTTGTATTGGCCAGGATATAAGAGGAATAGGTTGGGGCTTAGTGAGGGAAATAAAGAATTCAATTTGGGACAAGTTTGAAGTGACTGTGGAACATGAGGTTAAGGTGTCTCGTTGAAGAGAAAAAATCTGATTAGAACTCAAGAAAAATCTTGACTAGAGATGTGGATTTGAGTCACACAGATGGTTCTCAACACAATAGGTTTAACTAAGATATTACATCTTGTCACAGTGGTTTTTAAGTGGTAGTGGTGGTTGTATTTACCTCCTAGGGGCATTTAGAAGTGCATATCTGGTTGCCCCAGTGATTTGTGGGCTCTACTGACATTAGTAGGTGGGGCTAGAGGTGCCAGACAGCCTGCAGTTGATATGACAGTCCCATGCAAGCACGAATTGTCCCACCCAAATGCCAGTGCTGTCCTCCTTGAGATGCATGCCTAGAGTAACAAGAAAAAGAAAACCAAGGTCAGAATTTTGGCACAGAAACATCTAAAGAGCCTGTGGGTCAAGAAAGAAATGAAGTAAATAGGATAAAAACTGCATGGACCTTTCTCTACCTTCTTGGCTGTGGGGACTTCACTTTCACTTTAATGACTTCCTGTTATCCTCTCAAACTCATGAAATCTCCCAGGAATCATGATCTCCTGTATTTTAAGGACCAAATATGTCCTTAAAGCCTAAGCATCTCATGAAAAAGGAATATTAAATATTTTGTTGAGAAATGAATGAGCCTAATTTATAACTAAACAACATACATAGTATATGCTTTGCATATCTGTATTTATCCCTTGATTAATATTTTTGTGTTTTATCTTCATATATCTATATTTATTTAGAATAATTTATAGATAATGGAGTATTCATAGTAAAAGATCTACAAGTTGTGATTAATTTACATTACTTTGCAAAAGAATATGATCTAATTCCCACTGATTTTTAAGATATATCAAAAGCAAGAGACTGATACTATCAGAAAAGGAAATTGGCTTTTATATAAGGCTGAATATTAACCTCTCTACTGTGTTTAGAAACTCTAAGATCTGAGGTCTTTTGTGTTAAAAAGTTTCCCACAAAATGAAAATTAGGTGAGACTTTGTTTTGTTTTATAAAACGATATGGTTTTACCCTCAATTCTGAGTTTTCATTCTCTATGTATGTTATACTAGCTATATTTCATTAAAATTTCTTTCAATAATAGAGTGTACTACTTGTAACTTATAAAAATATGCTGCAAAGGGGTCAAATACGAGGTGACGGAGAAAAATCTAACCATGGGCAGTGAACACATGATGCAATATATATATGACTTACTGTTAAATTGTAGACTTGAAACTTATTGGATTTTTGTTACTCAATGTGACCGTAA